CCTCAATATCTGACTCATCAAAGCCGCGAGGGACGGCGACATAGAAGTAAGGAAGGAAACCAGTGACATATGCGAGTACGCTATTTCCGTCCTGTAAGATAATTTGAGAACTGCGTGAAAGCGCAAGTATAAAGAAGGTACCTCTGTCACGCCAAACAACCTCAATACGATAGACCCATTGCTGTAGTCCGTTGCTTCGTCGACATCGATTTGCTGAAATACTGTAAGGGGGAGCGCCGTAAGTTAATGAGCCTGAGGCAACATGCGTACACACTGATGCTATTTCGCTTCTCATTAATGGAGGGAAGATGCGGGCGGGCCCAGCTATCAGCCCCACCCTCAGCAGCTTTTCTAACTATCAATAATCAAAGTAATGGCGAGTTCTCCACACTACATACCGACACCGTCATGTGCTCTGTCCTGACTCAGCTGTTCTAATACATCTGCGAAGGACGAATCTTGCGTTTTCTGGGAGTTGGTTGGGCCAAGTTTGCGCCTTTTCGCGGCAGGTTCCGAGCTTATATTCGGCTTGGTGCTGTCAAACATGTATCTGAGTAAGGACGTTTGTGACGCGCTCTGATTCTTACCGCGTGCGCGCCGTGAGCTGATTTTGTTGTGTGGAATTTGTCGGGCCAACCATCGTCGCGCCTCAGTAGATGAGAGGAATAATACAAACAACGACGTGTCACAAGCGCGCCGGGTAGTAGACGATGTAAACCTGGTCACCAAGTACTAAAAGTACTAATGGACAAGACTTGAAGGAACGCGTTTTGAATTAAAACACGTATGGTCGTATTTGTTCGCTTATGTTTGGCTTACGTACACAATTCAATCCAAGTCGCATACAATTGCAATGTCAAATGGCAATCTATAAGCTAGTCCATGTACAGTTACGAAGAGTCATTGGTATAGTTATAACTGTTATCCGAAAATTCTACGCGAGTCCATGGGTTTTGAATTTACAACTTCATGTGACTTTCGAACTTACATTGAGCACTTCATGACAGGAAAATTTCTGTGCAGATTCTCATCGTATCTGCAGGATTTTTAACAGTGTGTCCGACAGTACGAGGATCACTGAAAATCTCGTAGTCGTTACCCCCCTTTACAGAAATTGTCAAAGGGATGAAATTTCACCTAGTAACAAACTCGACTCTTACCTTGCTTGTCTTGTCCCCGAAAAAGTGGATTTCTTCGAAGTCATCTTTCTCGACATGTGTAAGGCAGTAAGTCTTGTCCCATCCATGTGGAAAGATATCAAATGATATCTCGCCACCGATAGAGAACGTTAAATTCAGTCGTTTGAATTTCTCCCGGAGAATTTCTACAAAGTCCGCCCTAATGTGGTGTTCCTGCCGAGAATCAGTGAGTAACATAATGAATGATTTCCTAATGTTACTACCTTGTCGTAAGCCTGAAAATCTTTGCGTTCCTTGACACTGCGGAGCCGAGGGGTGTTAACACAAGTCTAGGGAATAGCATGTAAATGAACCCACGTTGCATTGCGGCCGATAGGGCTGACATTGATCATGCCATTGCGGAACTCGACGAATGTTCCACTATAAATTGCAAGTGAATGGGTCGATCGACCGCCAAGGATCAGAGAAATTCACCGTTTGATTGGGATGTTCACGTCAGCAATGTAATGCAAGATAAAGTTGACTAGCTCCTGATAGTCCTTTTCGCCTACCATGTTGATGAAGGACTGCGACTCCAGCAGCTTTCCGAATCGATACGCGATAAGGCCGTTCTCAGCGAAGCCAAAGTCGAACTCCAGAACTGCAGATGCGTATGAGTATGTTAGCAGTCAACGAGGAAAAGCTTCGTACCATTGAAATCACCAACATTAAGCTGGTCAGATATCTTGGCAAAATCAGACCCACCAACAAAGCCTATAGCAACATGCTTTCTGAGGTCGCGTAAGAACTGGATCATTTCTGGAGATGCCCTCTGTCGGGAGATCTTGACATCAAGCATGATAGTCATCTGGAAGCTGGATTACCTGACGTGCGGGCGTTAACGTCTCATCGACATCGAATAGCACAAGCTTCTTGACTGGCCGTTCAGCGAAATCTGCAGACACCATGATGGTACGGTTGTAAACCTATTTTAGTGGCCAATCAGTCCAACTACTAAATTCGGCCATCTCCGAAGTATGACATTAGCCTTTGTCGGTGACTCTCATCCAGTCATCTTAACGGGTCCGTGGTTTGCCCTATGCTATCATTTTTCGCTCAGGTTTTATTCGCAGACTCATAACAAAACCTGCGCAAATGGCCCAGAGATACCATGTCTTTTCGCTGCCTCCCGAATTGTTGGAGACCCTTATACCTCGGAATCTAATCAGTCAACCACCACCCCCGGAAGTCTCGACTCTTATACAAACAGCTCCTCCAGTATCAGACAACGCGAGAGCGTGTAACATTTGTTTCGGAGCGACATTTGCAGACGTAACTGAGCAACGATCCCATTTTCGATCCGACTGGCATCGATACAATGTAAAGATTCGCCTGAGGGGTGGCAGCCCTGTGACGGAGCTAGCCTTTGCGCAGCTTGTTGACGGTACGCACTTCAAACTACTCGTCATTCGCTTTTACGAAATCTACCTTGTATAAGCTAGGCCTTGAAGATTCCCTTTCAGGGTCTGCATCATCTGACGAGAGTTCTGATGACTCCGATGCAGTCAAGGTCCTGGTGAACAAAATCAAGCGAACGTCGAGATCACCTTCGCTCAGCGAGGAGCGACAGACACCACTTACAGCGCTTACCTGGTTTCATTCGCCTCCATCCATTCAAATCGGGGTGTACAGAATGCTATTTCCAATAGATACCCCTGCTCCGTCGTACTTGGCGGAGCTGAAGAGCATTCAAGAGCGTGTGGAAGGTGGACGAAAGTGGGCTATGTTTATGGTTGCCGGAGGTCACTTTGCAGGCGCAATCGTAGAAGTCAGTAGACCTGCAGAAGACCAGGATTCTACTTTCTCTGCAAAAACGAAGAAGAAACTGCCAAAACCCAAGCCGGAGACATCAATTCTGAAACACAAGACATTTCACCGTTACACTAGTAGGTGTATTTATGATCGTCTTATTCATTGTACTGGAAAAAAATTTGCGTCTAGCTCGCCGTAAACAGGGTGGTTCGCAATCAGTAAATGACAATTCCAAGGGTGCTGCGATTAGTGCAGGTGCCATGCTTCGTCGTTATGGCGAGCAAGCTCTCCGAGATGTAAGCGAGCCTTCCTTTTCGTTCGCTATAGCTGAACATACACTCCTAGGATATCCGCAACCTTTTACTTGACTGGGCTGATGACATTCAGGACTGCGAAAGAATTTGGTTACGTGCTAGTGTCTCTAACAGGCGCATATTTTTCGACTATGAAAATTGCGTCATCAACAAAGGAGACGATCGTCTGAGAACGTTCCCTTTTCCAACGCGCCGACCAGTACGTTTTTTTACTGCTGTCACTCGCGTAATTCTTATTGTTCTACTTGCAGACTCAATCTGAGCTTGTGCGATGTCTCCTGGAGCTCACTCAAGTGAAGACGTCACACCTTACAGAGGAAGCGCTTAGAGCGCAGGACGAAGCGTTCCTTGCCTCCTTGCCCAAGCCCAAAGCCACACCTTCCGTCGTGCCCGCAGCGGTGCCTGAAAAGGCAAAACCACAACGATTGACTAAGGAGGAGGAAGCCTACCGTGAGAAGTGGTCTCGATTACTAGATATGATCAGCAAAGGTCGCTCAGAGCCTCTGAAATCCTTCTGGGAGCGCGAAGGCGCTTCCCTTGGTGGTGTCGATGCCCTCATACCAGAATGGACAGGGGATAGGCATGCATCGTTGCTCCAGGTCGCTGTGCAATCAGGCCAGGAAGACGTTACACGCTGGCTGTTGTACGAACTGCACGCCGATCCGACTATCCTTGTTCCGTCTTCAGGCGTACATCAGGAAGCTGCCAACGAATCGGACACATCGAACGCGCCTCCTTTACAAGGTGCAGGTTCGCGCCGTACTGCCTATGACTTGGCTCGTGCAAGAGCAGTCCGTGACATTTTTCGCCAGTGCGCGGGAGATCACCCTGACTGGTGGGACTGGTTCGGGGCGGCACATGTACCAAGCACCTTCAACAAGGAAAGGGAAGAAGCGAGGGACGAGAAGAAAAAACAAAGAAAGAAAGGCCTGAAAGAGAAAATGCGGGAACGGGAGGCCAGAGAAAGAGAACGAGAAAGTAAACAGTCTGACATTGATGACGAACAGGTGGAAGCAAAGTCGGAGCCTCGTCCTCAAGACCCTACAGCTCCCCGAAAGCTCGGAGGTTCGTCCGGCGCAGTTGATGGCGTCGTCGGCTTAACTGCTGAGTTGAGAGCAAAGGTGGAACGGGAACGAAGGGCCCGAGCGGCTGAAGCACGGTTGAAAATTCTTACTGGAGCATGATGGTAGATGTAGTTCATTACCAGCCCGATGGAACAAAATTACATCAACCACAAAAAATGAAATGAATGAGAATGGGCATTAGACCACATCCCTGCCCTACTAACAGACTCTGGTGACTGCACTGTCAGGACATGATTGTCAACAAAGCATTTTGACCCTGCCATGAGGCACAGTACTTCACATATAAGTAGTGTGGATACAAATGCGACTTCCAACCCTTGATTTACGAAGCCCAGAGATTTCCCTATGAAGAACAACCACTACTCAAAATCATGTTCAGCTGAGAATGAATCTGAATCATCCCACGAGTGTTACGACAAACGGTCGTGCCATGTTACTGTAACAACGAGTGAGTGATGGTGACAAGTCTGCCAGCCTAGCCCATTTAGATTGTAATGGGAGTTGATTGCAAGTGACTATGTTACACTTCACAGACAATCAGGTGAATGTGGTATATTTGGCAGAGCCTACTAGAGTCCAACAGCGAAGACATATGGTGAAAACATTAGTCATTGTCTGACCAGAAGGTGGTCATGAATGTTTACCTATGTTTATTTTTGTCATGAAAAACACATCATTCAACCTTTTCAACCACCACTCTTCTGTTAGATGTCTGAGGTTGCTGGGCCCTCAGATCTTCTCCTTTCCCCTCATGAAATTACTAATATTGCTCATCAAGTAATCAGACCCATGCCATGCGAGTGGGAAGGGTGCACAGTTATTCTCAACAGTTGGTATAATTTAACAAAGGTGAATTTAGATTTGCTCTTGATCTACTTTAGATGTACTAGATACTAGTCATAGATGTTCTGATGGTGGTGTGCTGAGCTGTACTCCTCTCCGGGGGTACATTAGAAAATCTTCAGCTGTCACACTTTGCTCTGCAGTCAGCAGTGCTGAGTGGTCATGCTGAAGGTTTTCTAATGTGCTCTTGGAGTGAGTATTCACTCACTCTGCCCATTTCATCTGCATCATCCTCCATTACTGGTCAGTACTAATACATACTTCCCTATTACACAGCATACCTTAAGACACTGTGATCGCATATCCAACATAGTGAGTTATTTTCTTCATCCACAACTTACCTCATTTTGCTTATCTACTGTCCTTGTAGGAGGGACAGTACCAATGTCGATATCTTAGATGTGCAGGTCGCATGCACGTCACAAAGGATGCACTCAAAGCACATGTGGACCTCAGCCACCTGTCTCGTCTTGCAATCAGTTGTCCAGTCCGTGGTATGTCACAACTCTAAAAATGGCAATCTACTTCATTTTCAATGTCGTCTTTTCAGATTGTGAGCGAGTTTTTCCGCGAGCATCTCAACTCGAGCTCCACTTCACGACCGATCATAAGGATCTCGTCAATAGCCCTGCGACTCTGGTCTTTGACAGGCTCGTTGCTACCGCACCACCATCACGACGAATTATGACTCATCCCCCACCATTACCGTCGTACCATCAACTACCTAATTGGCAATTCACTGTTCCTCTCGTCTCACTGCCACCTCACAAACCATTTGGTCCACTCGCGCCGGTGGAACCAATTTCCCGAAAATGGAGACGATTGGATGCACCAGACGAAGATGACTCAAATCCCAACCACATCATTCCACTCGATGATCTGGTCCGCCCAGTGATTGCACCCCAGCAGTCGAAGCAACTTGTCCCCCACATACGAAGGCAGCCGCCGTCATTGAACGAGAACCAAAGGCTCTCGTATCCTCAATCCATGCCTAGCCCACTTCCGCGCAATGATTTCGTTCCTACGACCATCGGTATCTCCATCTTCGAGCGGAAATTCGGAGAGCTTGCAAAAGATGGAGTGGTCAATGGAGGAGCATAGTAGCTCAAGTCTTGCGACTGTAGGGGCGAGAGACAGAGCCGTGGTCGCTAATTGGCTGTCGTTGTCGCATCATGTACTGTTCGTCGTCGTCATCTTGTACTGTCTTCATTGTCCTATACTGCTATTACATTATATACTGCTATTCGACAGTATTGAACTGCTTTTCTGCGGTGTATAGTTCAATATGATGACTTTTCTTTCTCTCTGTTTTGTTTTCCGATCGGTCACAGTCAATCAGACCACAGGCTCTCGAGGTTTATTTCTGCCGTTAACTGTGTCTACTCATTGAATTTTTCTCTGTTTGGGAGACCCTGAAGCTTGCAGTTTGGCTGTACAATTCTTGTGCGCTCATGGATAGAGGTCATCGAGAGTTGGAGTTTGTCGTACTTGTTCCCTCAATGTTTAAAGACAAGATAGGCTATGTTCAGTGAACATTTTGCGGCATCCTCACATGCATGAATCATAACGACAAGTAGTAAACATAATTACTAGCATACTGATGCACAAAGTATGGCTATAATGGAGCGCATAAGCCTATACTTCCGACGTCTCATTGCAATTTTGGGTCTATGCAGTGTTTCCCTCTGCGAAGGTGAGGAGATCAGAGTCTCCAGGATCGGTAACAGTCATGACGCTGAGAGAATCCGTTTAGCTTGCTTGAGTTAGGGATCGAGATATATGGGACTACGCACCCGACACGGAAAAGCTTTCCGGCGGCAGTGCCAAGTGCGACGTTCGTGCCAGAGAAGTGGTGCACGGTCGTCTTCGACAACATGGCATAGTACTCGAGCTCAGATTTGCGTAGTGGTGGACAGTTGCCAGCAATCAGAACGAGCTTGGCTAAATCATCGCGGATGCGAGTAGAACAAACACAAAGCAAATTTATTGTCAGCACAAGGGACCTTCTCAGCCTCACGCTCCAGTCCCCGTGAGTGCGAAAGAGTGCTCACCTTTGCCGCTGCGCATCTGCTTGAGGGCAGACTTGTAACCAAGGGTGTACTTCCCCGACTTGACGACAAGCGCAAGACGAGACGAGATGGACTCGGACGACTTGGTCGCCTTAGACTTCTTTGAAGGGGCCATTGGTAAATTTAGGTATGTCGGGGAGTCTTGAGGAGCTTGATGACGACGAGCGGCTTTTGGGATATGACAAAATCTAACTTTCAGAATGATGGATGAACTGTACAGTTTTGGCCAAAACGGGTTCAACTCCGACAGAACCGCCCCCAATCAAGGGGTCAACTTTTACATCGCACTCAGGAGTCGGAACTGCAGTGAACATAGCAAAAGTCGTTACAACGAAGCTAGAGACATTTCTAGAATAGCGTGTGGCCCCTTCTCATTATAATCAGTCTTTGACACAAAGTTCTTCCCATGCGACTCATTGAACGCGATCTAAGGGGGCTCATCAACCGAAAGACCTTGAATGCGATCGAACAATACACACACCTTCGCAACAATGCTAGTGCCAAGGAAAGCCGCAAAGCCATCTCCTTTTTCTCGGTATTCAGCAAAGTATTCAGGCACGGTCAGTACTCGAATCGACCGCGGCTGCACATCAGTTGCCTGGTCTGGAGTGCTAAGGATGAAAGGCGCTAACCGCGACTGCAGTGCAGCTCCGATGCCTTTGCACGATTAATCCCGACTTCACTGGTGGTACATGATCACGCACCTTTGACATGATTTGTAAGATCGCCATTAATAAACAAACCTTGCCAAATGTATTGCCTTTGGGCGACATCCGTTTGGCGAACAGAAAATGCAACAGCCTCCTGCAAGGGCAATATTCTCCCTTCATAAGGATCCACACGCTCGACAGGCAGCCCGTTCAGCAGCATGGGATCAAAAAGCGGCTCGCAAAACCGATGCCGCTCTTTGCCCAAAGTGATAGAGTGTCCGCGGAACTCCACAGTGACAAGATCAAGTGCTTCAATCTCCCTCGCCCGAGCTTGCTCTGCAGCAGAAGCCTTCGCAGTCAGCTTTTTTTTCATCCCCGTCTCAATGACGGCCTTTTCCTTGCCAGCAACGAGGACTGCTGCTATATCTGTGACTCCTTCATCTTCTGGTATATCTACCGTTTGGCCGTCTGATGGAACGCGGACAAGGCCTTCCACCCAAACATGCTTAACCAGATCGTCTAAGAATCTCTGAGTAACCTCCGGGTCACTCAGTTTGTCCGGAGGTGATGCCGCCGCCATGACTGACTGATTGAAGCGCAGGAGGTTGGCGAGGTAAACTTGACAATCTCTGATGCCTACAGGTGTAGACGAACGAGCGTTTTGTATGATGAATCCATCGTAAATTGGGGTGATATCCGTTATTTCGTGACCGATATCGACCACGACTCCGCTGAGCTGTCCAGCGGCATAGAGCTGGGCCATGGGGCGGTCAAGAAGACCGAAGCCTGCGACATTGAAGCGCTCGAAAAATATCTGGCATATGCGTTCTGACGAATCTCTGAAGAGGCCTGCTGGCATGGACAGCATAACAGGAGACTCGTTTTGAGTTCGCTTGAGTTGAAGTGTATGGAACAGAACATATTTCCTTGGTCACACTATGTGAGGTGAGGACACAACAATAGAATTACAAACATACCAGAGTGCCTCCGCTTGAGTCCAATCACGAACATCACCATCTGCAAATGGCCATGAGACGATAATATCATGACCAGCTTCGAGAGCTTCGTCTAGTTGTGAACCAACGAGATAGTCGTGAACCTTCGCCGAGGGACTAGGCTGAGAAGGCAAAGACGATGCACGACTGCTGGATGCAGATGGACGCAGATTATCGCTACTCTCGCCTGGCTTCAGAGAGAATGAGCCATTTACACTATCACCTGGATTGCGTCGCAGACCGACGCGAGCTTGTATTTCCTGTAGCATGTATCAATATGGAATCTTAGACACGAAAATGAATGATACAAACAATAGATGGCGCCTTGAGCAGATCTTGCAAGCCAACGCCTGCTCTGATGAGTGTTCTGCCGGACTCAATGATAACGACGGACGAGTCTCGGAAACTGACCATCGTGGAACGCTAGGAATACGTGATTTCGGTTGTGGACGCGTTGTTTACATCATGAACCAACTTTACTACCCGGGATATTGGTTACTCGGCTGTATCATACAAACGGATTCAGAAGACTTCAAATTCTTGTCCCTCATTCTCCAGCCATGATGTACATGCCAACGGAAGCTGAAGTTTCTGTGCTGTGGCCCCAGCTCGACATCTCAGAGTCCGGAAGCAAGCCCTTCACTGACTACAGCCGTTGGAGGTTGCTCGTAAATGACGGCGGAAGGCATACATGGCACTACCTCCAAACAGACGAGGAGTGCGAGAAGTGGCCTCAGAATGATGTAGACAAGTACTGGATTGGTATTCCACTTGTAAGTGTGTCATTCAAATTTTGGCTCGCAAACGCGCTCAGGCCTCAGCCGAATAGAATTTGCCCGACCTTCCTAAGCCCAAGGATGCGCTGGATGCAGCCCGCAATGGGTATACATTCTACAAGCACCTTCAGTCTCATGATGGACATTGGCCGGGCGAGTACGGTGGCCCCATGTTCCTTCTCCCCGGCCTTGTTATTGGGTCATACGTGTCTGGCATGAGCTTCAAGGAGGAGGAGCGTCTGGAGATGATTCGCTATCTTCTGAACCATGTCACCCCGGAAGATGGTGGTTGGGGAATGTAAGTTGTAATGCAATATTTGCTATTCGCCCCGTTTCATAAATCCATACAGACACATTGAAGGACACTCGACCGTTTTTGGGACAGCGTTAAACTATACCGCTCTCCGGATTCTCGGTGTGCAGGCAGACCATCCAGCTGCTGTGAGAGCCCGTGAGACATTGCACAAACTTGGTGCGCTCATCCTTCAGCTTTGTTGGTGTATGTGGCCTAATTCTTCAAGTACAGGAGGAGCCACTGGTGCTCCCGCATGGGGCAAGTTCTGGCTCGCAATCTTGAATGTGTATGATTGGGCTGGTGTGAACCCAGTCCCTGCGGAGCTTTGGTCCGTTTGCAAGCTTTCATCTTGGCACCTGAACTAACGCCTCAACTATCTGAAAGGCTCCTTCCTGATTGGCTGCCTGTCCATCCTCATCGCTGGTGGATACATACCCGGACTGTCTATGTGCCGATGAGCTATCTCTATGGCATCCGATTTAAAATGCAGGAAAATGATTTGATTCGAGCGCTCCGAGAGGCGAGAATTCTATTGCTGAATTTTACATTTTGTTTGCTGACGCTCCAACTTGCAGGAACTATACCCAACTAACTATTATCAGATCCACTGGCCCTCGCAACGTAATAACGTGTGTGCAGCAGACTTGTATTCCCCTCATACCACTGTCCTGGACGTTATGAACTCTGTTCTTTCAATGTACGAGGGCTGCGTTATCCCTCCCCTCCGCAGGGCAGCTCTCGCACGTGCATACCACCTTATCGTTATCGAGGACGAGAACACCGAATACCAGACCCTTGGGCCTGTCTCCAAAATGATGAACCTCATCTGCCGTGCTCATGTCGAAGGCCCCAACAGTGAAGCGTACAAGCAGCACGCTATTAAACGCGCAGATTTTATGTGGCTTGGCCAGGAAGGCATGATGATGTGTGGGACGAATGGGAGCCAGCTATGGGATATTGGCTTCATCACGCAGGCGCTCGTTGAGACCGGCCTTGCGAAGGAGGAGGTGAATAAGGAGAGTCTGTCGAAGGCGCTTGGATGGTTGGATGTTTGCCAGATCAGAGAGAATCCGAAGCACTACGAGACATCTTACCGTCACACCACCAAGGGAGCTTGGCCATTTAGCACCAAAGAGCAGGGGTACACGGTCAGCGATTGTACCGGCGAGGGGCTGAAAGCGGTCTTGTATTTACAAAACCAAGTCGAGTTAGTATCACTGTGATCTTTTTGGACTGTCAACTGAACACTCTAACAGAGGCTCGGAGAAAATTATCTCAGACGAACGACTTTTTGATGCTGTAGACGTCATGCTAACTATGCAGAACCCGAATGGCGGTTTTGCCAGTTATGAGTTGGTCAGGGGTCCCAAGTGGCTCGAATGGCTGAACCCTGCAGAGGTTTTTGGTGAGTTATTTACTCTCATAACTTTCACTATTCAAATGACGACTTGTAGGTGACATCATGATCGAGTTCTGTTATCCAGAGTGCACAACCTCCGTGATTACGTCGCTGTCTATCTTTAGGAAACATTATCCTGACTACCGGTCTGCTGACATTGAGTGAGCAAGGAGCCGCTGTTCTGCTTACCGTCCTGACAATTATTTCAGAAAAACTATCAAAGGTGCGATCAAGTTCTTACACAAGGCGCAAAAAGCCGAAGGCGGCTGGGTTGGCTCCTGGGGAATCTGCTTCACATATGCAACGCAGTTTGCTCTTGAGAGCCTTTCGCTAGTTGGAGAGAACTATTCAAACAGCTCTCACGCACAACGGGCGTGTAGGTTCCTTCTCTCATGGCAAAGAGAAGATGGTGGTTGGGGCGAAAGTTACAAAGTAGGCGCATCCAAATTTATATCCGGGACTGGATTTCTAATTTGTTCCGTAGTCCTGTGAACAGGGTACCTGGATACAGCACGAGAACTCACAGGTCGTACAGACCTGTTGGGCGACCATGGCCCTCATGTACGCGAAATATCCCGATCCCGAGCCTATTCGAAAGGCTATCAAGTTGGTCATCGATAGGCAATTACCCGTGAGTTCAGCACATAATAATGATGATCTCCAAAAACTTAGTCACGATGCAGGATGGATCATGGCCACAGGAGGCGATTGAGGGAGTATTTAACAAGAATTGCACTATATCATACCCGAACTTCAAATTCTCATTCCCCATTTGGATGCTTGGAAGAGCGTATCACTACCTGAATGAGCTGGAGGAGCAAGCCGGGCAGACTCTTATTTGAAAAGATGACTACTTATTGCGCGAGTTGTGTCATGGGGTGACTCCAGGAGGGAGAGTTCCGCGTTGTTCCATATTGCGAAGGGCTCCGATAGTTCATATACCTGTATCTTGAATGATATTTTTGTTATTTTACCAGGGACTAGTACTACTTGGTAGTTTCGTAAGGTCACCTGTCCATGTCACCCGTGGGTGAACAGGCAAACTTGAATTCGGAATTCGGTGGGATGCGGACAAACAAATGGCACAGGATGATGTGCTTTTGCTGTCAGCCGATTTGAATCCAGCGTTCAAATGGTCTCATCGCATCTTCAGTGTTTCCTCCCTCCGCTTTGCTTGCAGTCAGGGTAGGTCATCGTTTTTCTTCCTGACAATTTACATTTGATTTAGTTAATAATGTGTTGCAGCCGACATTCATCAAAGTCATTATGTCAAGCGCTACCTCCAGTGTGGCCCGGGTGGCTTATTTGGCTTCGGATATCATCGTAGATTCCCAGCCCACCCTTCCATCCACCTCACAATTTGCAAAGGAGTATAGCTCACTCTCTGCGACTTCCAGTCGACGTCCGACAATCTTGTCGGTGCCCCTAGGCGGCGATCCAGGGTCAACATTACTCAGAAACGGATCGGCTGCTGGACTCATCTCGTTTACCTCTTCAGCAGCAGCACAGACTGTAATCAGGCTTGTCCTGGATGCCGCTGAACTTTCTTCACTTCCCCTTGTCTTACATCTTGCCGTGAAAAACGACTTGTCCGAAGTCCTTCTGCTCCATTCTGCCATCCCTTTTTTCCTCGTCTCCAGAACCCCCCAACAAGCACACGATAACTCACTCCTGGCATCTCGGTTAGCACGGACGGAGAAGAAGGCAGTCGTGCATGTCTTTTATGACGCAATAAATGATCCAGTGGAGGTAATACCGGAGAGTGAGGTGCAGCCTTTCCTTCTCTCGGAGAAGCTTGCGTCGACCAATGGAGTGAATGGGCACAATGGAACGAACGAGCACAATGGTCATGCAATCAGTGCAAATGGCACCAACGGTCTCAACGGTCATTCAGCAACTATAGTATCTCCTGGCTCAGAGCTTTTCAAGCTTTACGAGCGCGCAGCGCTATCTACGGTCGTTCGCATTCGTCGCGCATGTCCCCCGTTTTCTGTACATGGTCCTAGCGAACCCCACACTGTCATCTTTGGGTTGGGTGATATCCCTTCTGTGGATCTTGACGGAGTGTCGATTGTCTCACTCAACTTGCTCACTCCCCTACTCCCCGCCCGCATACTCGATGTCATTCCACCATCTGCATCACGTGTCATCGTTCTCGAGCAGCTGCAACGCTGGAACACGAAATGGACACCTTTGTACCTTGAACTTGTCAATGCAATTCACCAGCGGGAAGTAGAGCAGCGACCCCACATTCAGAGCGTTTACTTCAGTGACCCTGCTCAGATTCCCCTCGCAATTTTGAAACTTCTCCAAGCAGCTCCCTCTTCTGCTCCAATTCAACTTGGAAGCACTAGCACCTCCTCAAATATTTCGCTGGAAGTGCCACACATACCCAAGCACGAATCGTCTTATACGAAGATCTTGTCTCACATCTTTGGCAAACGTCTCGAAGTTTCCAATTCGCCTGACTTGGTGCTTAAACAAGGTGCTATTGCCACCAGTCCGGAGTTTGCATTGGGTCGCGTTCGAGGACAACTTGATCAACGAAATGAACTCATTCGCTCTGTGCAGAAGTTATTGGAGGTTAAGGACGTCAGCCCCGAACTGCATAAACTTTGTAGCCAGTGGGTCCTTGTCAAGGACGACGATGCCAAGAGTCGCTCGGTGGGAAACGAACTCATCACCGCTCTCGAGTCTTCAAAGTTCTCGAGTCCTATCATCGACCGCATTCTTGCACTCCGTGCACACTTCCCCACACGCTCGAGATGGATCATTGGCTCAGACGCCTGGTCTTACGATCTTGGTGCCTCTGGTCTGCACCACGCCATCGCATCCGGACTCAACATCAACATTCTCATCATCGACACCCTTCCCTACACATCCCGCAACTCCGCTGATCCACACCGCCGTAAGCAAGACGCCGGTCTGTACGCAATGAACCACGGCGATGTTTATGTAGCGAGTGTCGCAGTGTATTCGTCGTATGCTCAAGTACTGCAAGCAGTCATGGAGGCGGACAGGCACAAGGGCCCCAGTGTCGTGCTCGCATACCTGCCTTACCAAAACGAGGATGCACCAGCACTTGAGGTTTTGAAGGAGACCAAGCTCGCTGTTGACGCTGGGTACTGGCCGCTTTACCGTTGGGACCCTGTGAAGGAAGCACAAGGCAAAGAGCCATTCGCGCTCGACTCGGACGCCGTGAAGAACGACCTACAGCAGTTCCTCGACAGGCAGAACCATCTGTCACAACTCGTACGCTCCAAGCCCGAGCTTGCTACGGAACTGGTAAGCAGCTTGGGTGAAAATGTGAAGGAGGCGAGAAGGAAGAAGGCACAACAGGCATATGATGACTTGGTTGTCTCGCTTGATGCACCACCGTTGGTAGTACTGTATGCATCGGACGGTGGCACTGCAGAGAAGTTTGCGAAGCGATTGGCCAACCGTGGTAAAGCCAGAGGCTTGTCAACGTCCATCGGCACCATCGACTCTATGTCCATCGATACCCTCTCTCAAGAGGAGTATGTGGCCTTCGTTACATCTGTGGCGGGACAGGGTGAGCCCCCACAGAACGGTCGGACTTTGTTCAAGGCGCTCAACGCTGCTGCTCTTCGTGGAGAGAAACCCTTCTCGAAGCTTCGATACTCGGTCTTCGCCCTTGGTGATAGCCACTACTGGCCACGCCCAGAAGATGCTCACTACTACAACAAGCCGGGCAAGGACCTCGACGTTCGTTTGGAGCAGCTGGGAGGAGAGCGTTTTGCAGATATCGGGCTCGGTGATGACCAGGATGCAGATGGACCAGACACCGGGTACAAAGTGTGGGAGCCCCTCGTGTGGAAAACGTTCGGTGTCGACAGCATTGAAGTGAAAGAAGCAGAACCTGACCCAATCACGAATGAGCATATCAAGGCGGCCTCGGGTTACCTTCGCGGCACAATTGCTGAGGGTCTCGAAGATACTAGCACAGGCGCCCTCGATCCCAGTGACACCCAGCTCACAAAGTTCCACGGTATCTACCAACAAGATGACCGCGACATCCGTGACGAACGTCAAGCTCAAGGCGTCGAACTTGCCTACAGCTTCATGATTCGCGTCCGCACGCCCGGTGGTGTGTGCACGCCTGAGCAGTGGTTACAAATGGACCGGATCGCTGATGAACATGGCAATGGGACGTTCAAGATCACTACAAGAGCGACATTCCAGTTCCACGGTGTCATCAAGCAACACTTGAAGCCTTCCATTCAGGAAATTAACAAGGTCTTGTTGGACACTTTAGCTGCGTGTGGCGACGTCAATCGGTGAGTTCTGCGGCTTGCGGTGATGTTTCTTGCTGATCGTCCGCCTTAGGAATGTTATCTGTTCTGCTATTCCTTCTTTGTCCCGACTTCATGCCCAGGTCTACAACTTCGCGAAGCTTGTCAGCGCTCACTTATTGCCTAGAACAACAGCATACCACGAAATTTGGTTGGACAAGAAAATGGTTGCCGGTGAGGCTGTCAAGGACTTTGAGCCACTCTACGGCGAGTTCTATCTTCCTCGAAAGGTACGCTTCGTGCTGCATTCGTTTCAAACCATTCCTGATGTTGCGACAGTTCAAAATTGCAGTTGCAGTACCACCTACCAATGACGTTGATGTCTTTGCAAACGACCTGGGCTTCATCGCCATTGTCGATGAGCAAGGAGAATTGGCTGGTTTCAATGTTACTATCGGTGGTGGCATGGGAGTAACCCACGGCAATAAGAAAACATACCCTCGAGTTGCGGATGTTATTGGTTTCTGTACCGTCCAACAAGGTCCTGCTGTAGCAGAAAAGATCATGCTTACACAGCGTGACAACGGTAATCGTGCAGAGTAAGTCTTCTAAATGTTCCACACTTTCACGTTCTAATTAGTCTTCAGTCGCAAAAACGCTCGATTGAAATACACTATTGACCGGATGGGACTGGACACATTCAAAGCAGAAGTTGAGAGTCGACTTGGTTATCCATTGGCTCCAGCACGACCATACACGTTCGACCGCAACATCGACGACTTTGGCTGGTCAACGGGAGACGATGGCAGGCACCACGTTATGCTCTTCATCGAGAACGGGCGTATTCAGGACGAGCCCGACCGTGATTTTAAAACTGGTCTTCGCGAGATTGCCAAAATACACAAGGGCACATTCCGTCTGACCGCGAACCAGCATATTATGGTCTCAGAAATCTCTACGGAAGACGTGCCCGAGATCAAGAGAATACTCGCCAAATACAAGTTGGACAACTTGAACCACACTGGTTTGCGGCTGTCGTCATCGGCTTGTGTGGCATTCCCGACGTGCGGTAAGTAATCTTGCACTTACATATATCGTTTCTGACATGAGAATACACTCAGGTCTCGCAATGGCTGAGTCTGAGCGTGTGAGTAGCGACTTTGTAGAACTCCTAATAAAATTTGATCTCATCGTGATGTCTTCTAGTATCTGCCAGTACTCATTGACAAGGTCGAGAAAATCTGTGAGGAGAACGGGCTTCGCAACGATTCCATTGTCATGCGGATGACTGGTTGCCCCAACGGCTGCGCAAGACCATATGTCGCTGGTAAGACACTCTCGCCTCGATAAAGCCCCCACTCAATATCTCTACAGAGGTCGCCTTCGTAGGCAAAGCGCCTGGATCTTATTCCATGCTTCTTGGTGGTGGATACTACGGCCAGCGCCTGAACAAGATTTACCGGGAAACAGTATCGGAACCTGAGATCCTCGCCATCCTTAAACCTATGATCAAGCGATATGCGCTCGAGCGAAACGAGGGCGAGCATTTTGGTGACTTCGTCATCAGGGCAGGATACATTGCTCCAACGACATCCGGGAAAGAGTGGTACGAAGGCATGGGCGGAGAAGGACAGTATCGTGAGGCCGCCGCCGCCGCATGAGGTCCTACCTTTTACAATCGCTACATCTATAGATCTATTTTTGGGTATCAAGTCACCTTACAACTTGCTGGTCATGGAATGACGTATGAAATTGAGATGTCCATTCGAACACTGTATCGTATGTGCCACATGAAATCATCTCACTCTAATTCCTATTGCTTGCTAACCTTAGCTTCTGCGAGTGACTCCTTCACGGCGCTGATAACCTTGTCAATGTCCCCTCGACTAGGGTCAACTACAGAAACACCCATGTGCCTGAGAGAGCGTGTCAGTCACACCACCTCACAAGTATTTCACAGGCAGAAAACAACGCACCCTATACGGAAGTATTTGTCTTTTTGGAGCAGGACGATTTTCAGTAACAAATATACTCCTCGCAGAAAACTTTACTGACCTTTGATGCTAGCATGTAATCCGCCAGCGACGACGACGTCTTTCTTCAACAGACGAGGAACGATATCGCTCGCTGTGAAACCGTCGGGGAAGTAAAGCTGTATACGGTATCAAAGTCTCGGTCGCAAAGTAATCAAAATACTGTACGCACTGCAGACATGCCATTCGCCTGGACGTCCTCACTGAGAGGCACGCCCTTGAATCCAATTTCCTCTGCTGCCTTCTTGACGCGCCTGCTGACCTCCTTGTGGAGCTTAAATCGTTGCTCGAGGGAGACAGAGCCCTGCATGATCTGGGTGAGGGACGCGTGGAACGCATAGATGAGGTTGACGGGTGGTGTGGCGAAGTAGGCGGCAGTGTTGTTCTCGTAGGCTTTCATTACGGGTAGCCATCTATTTGGGAATAAATCTATGTTAGGATAGAAAACATGGACTAAACGCACTTCTTCCAGCTGCCGTAGTAGGTTGTGACTGGCGTTGAACGGTTCTCGAATACCTTGAGGTGTTTGTATCAGTAGCTGCACGTCATGGTATCGGGGAAAAGGCAAACCTGGACGGCTTTCTGAGAAGCAACAAGGATGCTGAGACCCGGTGGCGTGCCCAAACCTTTCTGGCTGGCTGTCAATACGACATCAATGCCCCAGGCATCCATTTGGATTTCTTCGCTCGCCACAGAGCAGACAGCATCAACAACGACCTAGTACCAATCCATAATGAGTACACGTGAATTGAGGAGTTTTTTGGAGAATTACAAGTGTGTCTGGAGAAACTCTCTTCACGACGTTTGCAATAGCTTTGATGTCGGACAAAACGGCTACCCAAGATAGATCAGTCCGATATCAGGAACCTATATAATATCAGGCGCCCTGAAAAATATTACTAACCTGTCGAGGTGTCGACGTGGGTTACTGTAACAATCTTGTACTTCTTCGCTTGAAGTGCGCTCTCAATATCAGCTTCCTTAACAGCACCACCAATCTCAGCCTTGATCTGGTCGACATTGGCACCATAGGTCTGCAAACTGGAGAGCCATGAAGAATGAGCAAACACTACGACGCTTGCCCCATCATTGTCCCTACCAGTCTGCAAAACTATCGGCAAAATAACCACTATGCAGAACGAGCGCGTTTTCGCCCGGTTCTACGAGATTTGCAGAGACCTGGCACCATAAATAAACACATTTTGCACCCTGAAATTAACATCAGACTCATACCTGATCCCATCCCAATGTGCCTGACCCAGCGATCAGGAACGGCTGCGCATCCTCTGAGTAAAGAAGTTGTCTGACAAACACGTAAGTTTATCGTTCGGCCGCTAAGTCACCGTGAACTGCGGGTCCTTGCCTAGTCATGCGAATGCAGTCACCAAAGACTCTTGCAAAGTCGGGTGACATATGCGACATCGACGGATGTGCATTGGCAAAGAGGACCTATAAATAATTTTATGAGCGTTACAATTTATGCAGAAACGACACAAGAGTATACGCACCTCATCCGTGACCTCAATCGGTCCTGGGATGCTGAAAACGCAGGACTCATGATGAGATAAATTCCATGCAGGCAAAAGCACGAGTAGACGTACACCAGAAGTCTGTAGATGACGGACGCGGTCTGTCAGTCTCAGACAACCTTTATACGACCTGAACCATGACTCACTTGTGTGGAGCCTATCACTCAGCGTTAATCCGAAGAGTCAACACACCTGAACGACCACAACGGCACGCACCTGAACAAATTTACTATCTGTAGACATCTTACGAGTTGAACTTGGAATCAGAGAACCGAATATACTAGGATGGGTAAGTGCGTAGGAGATGGAAGAGGAGGTCTTGATGGAGGCGTTGCGCAGGGCACTCATTAAGGGAAACATAACACGGCAAAACAGCTGCTATGTACTAGCACCTTCGGGATGGGCGGAATCGTTGTTCCACTATCATTCCCAGATAAAAATCCCGTATATAATACTATTAATTGCTCTCCATATTTTTGTTGAGACTATTCCGCGTAACCTCGCGTAACCCACTCTAATTCCGTCCTAAAGACTAAAGTATCATGGGAAAAATGCAAGTATCATACAGATCAATCTGAGTGAAACAGACAAACCCCACTTACGACACTCGAGAAAAGTCCCATGATACGGCACGGAACAACAACGGAAATTTCCCAAGCACTACCGCCCAGCAACGATCCGCGTCGCATCTCCGTCTACCACTCCGTTCGCCTGCGCACCCCCAATAAAACCCGCCACCGTCTTCTGGAGATCCGTCCACTCAGATTCACGTGGAAGTGCCATGTCACCGATATCATAGACATACAACTTCCCGTCGCTCCCTCCGAGTGCGGCCCGCCGTCCGTCTTTTCTGTCCCATTGTAACTTGTTGATAGCTCGACCAGACCCGACGTTCGTGGAGACGATTGGTACCTGGAAATGGAAGTGGAAGTTAGAAACGGAGTCCCGTGCACAGCATCACATTGTGCTCGATCTAGATCAGGATCACTGAAGCAACCAAAACTCACTTCAGTATCCGTATTCAGATTCCAAACATCAAATCTCCCAGACCCGTCAACCGTTCCAAATAGAGCAGGATGCGCTGGATGCCACTTCACATCATACACATAATCATCCGCCTCGTCGAAGGAGTAGATAGGAGAAATAGCATGCGCAGCAGTTGACGGTTTCGCAAGTGATTTTGCGCGCCAAAGCTTCACCGTCCAATCCACACTCGCAGTCAGGAACAGATCGGAGAAGTCTACAGCTCCCACAAGAGGATGAAAATGCAGCCCCATGACAGGCCCCGCGTGTCCCTTGTAGATATCATACTGATTCAATCCGGCTTTCGCACCCGCGCGGTCGTAGCGATTGGCTTGATAGACATTGCCTTCTTCGGTGCCGACCCAAAACGTGGTCGTTTCATTATCCGGGAAGTCCAGCGTTGTGATGGCTACTTCGCCTGTTTTGTTGTGACCTGCATGAATAAGCTCTAGGGTTTCCTGAGGACAAATTTAGGAGTTTAGGCATCAATTAAGCTCAATATTTGGTAGAAAGAGGCTTACTTGTGGTTGGGCGAGCATGTCAACGAGCCAACTACACACGGTGCCATCTGTACTGCTGGTAATCAAGTTGTGCGCGTTCTGAGTACCGACCATTTGCATCGCATACACAGGGTGTGTGTGTCCAGCAGCCGAGAGGGGCGTCTTCAGCACAGGTAGATGTTTTGATCGCGTGTCCCACAGTAGAATCTGCCCCGAGTACGTGCCACCAAACACCAAGTTTGAGTGGAATGGGGAGAACGTGACGGAGAGGACATCAGACTTGACAAGACATCAGTCAAATAAACACATGACTTATAGAGATGCTCACCGACCTGTGAGTGGAACACGAACTCCGGTCTGTCGAGTAGGTGGAGGTTCCATACTGCAACAATCCCATCTGGCTCGTTCAATGCAGCAGGGTTCTTGTTATACGACGCTACGCTCAACTCCGGGTACTGTATCAAAGTCAGTAAGAATCATTGTGCTTGAACGACGTCCGAGACCTTGGGCGACCAATCGATATCTGTAATCGACCTATTCTTGCCGTAACGTTCATCATAGAATGCACAAATACGCTTGACGCGCTTTCCCTCTGAGTCGTCCCTGAAATAAGTATTAACACACTGACACCAGATGAACAAAATAAAAGGAAACGCACCCATTCGCCTCCGTGCCTATAGTATAATCACGAATGTAGTCATACCCATCGTTCAACGCACGTTGTACGATCTTCGACGATTGTTCCACAAAGTCTAGGAATTCAGGTGCACTGAGTATATGCGAGCGTTCCTCTTCCGTAAGCTCTATAAGTTTGAACAGTCTCAGTTTTGAAGTATCAGAGTGACGTGAAGAGAACTGAAGGAGAACGTACCCCGAATCTCCTCCTCAATCTCCTTCTCAAGCTGTACACTCTCCTCCTCAAGCTCCTTATCCTGGGCAATCCTCTCCGCCTCCAACTCCCGTTCGCGCATGATCTGTTGTCGGATCTCATTCTCTGATATTTGGGGTGTTTCAGTTTCGATGGCTGTCGTTTGCACCTCTTTGTTGTAGATCACGCGTTCCTGGGTATGAGTGAGGATTTTAGATGGGAGAGGATGACGTCGAGGCACTTACGCGTTGTGGAAGCTCGAATAGCTCCTGCTCAACATCTATAAGGTCAGGTATGAACCTCGGCGTCAACACCCTTCACGTAGTATGAACATCACCGCCAGCGTCGAAGAAACCACGGGAGTACATACCTATCAACATGCTCCATCATCCCCACCATAGTCGTACCCATACTCACTTTATCGCTCCCGACATCGCTCTGCCTGCTCACCCTGCCAGACGGTGAGAGCGTCAAGCCGTGGAGAAGATTTGTAGACGATCGGGGTGGGGTATTGGGGAGGGACGAGGAGGGGGTGAGGTCCCCGCCTGTGTCTAGGCCACTGCGACTTCCGACGAGTTGGTTGACGAGGTCGTCAACGTCGCGACGGGCTCCGCTAGACGGACCGGGCTAGAGAAGCTTGAGCTTCGTAAGAGTAAAGGAAAGGTGAACGAACTTCTGCCTGGCGTCGCTCAGTTTCTGCTCGTTGGCGGTCTGCTCTAGCTTTCCGAAGTTCTGCGAGTTTTGCACGTTTAGCTTCGATCTCTGCTCTCCGCTTGTCTGACATTGATGAGATCTGAAAGAGGGTTTGGTGGTGACTAGGGGGTGGTGTAAGACGCGTTATAAAACATCCGACTCAGCCACAAGTTTCTTTAAGTTGCTTTCAAACTCAAGCACGCTCTGGGAACGGACATTGTCAGAATGACCCCTCCCTCCTGCGTATCGCTACTCTGCTGCTGCCGTCTTACTGTGGGGGTCCCGCTACCGGATATCCAAATGCAAGGATGGAAATGTTTTAGCTTTAGGGAGCTCTTGCTATATCATAATGTAGTGACGGTTTGTAGTCACCCAGGTGGAACACACTGCAAATTTCAATCATACATGGCCCTGCACAGTGCACATCACTTCGATTCGTAAGAAAGACCTAAGCTCACATTCTACAGCCATCAGTTCAAGTGCAAGTTACTTGCGATGTCGACAGTCCGCTCTTACTCGGATCCCTAAAAATCAGGTCACCACTTACACCTCAAAATCAAATCCCGCGTAGAGAGCGTATGGACCGAATTGCAACATACGCTCTCTGCGCGGGAAACGAAAAATGATTCGGATACCGGGAGTCGAACCCGGGGCCGCTGTGTGAAAGACAGCAATGTTAACCGTTACACCATATCCGACTTGTTGAAGTTGTTCAGCGTTACATTCACATTGCGCTAGCGCGAACTTCACCGTTGCCACTGATCAACGTTTCAACGATCACACTCAATTAAAAATTATATATAACGCGCATGGCATTAACTTCAATTGTAAGACGATACATAAGATACACAAAGCAACCTCCCACCCCAACACGCTCACCACATAAACCCAACAAGTCAAGTTCCATCAACAAACTGTTACATTGGTGGAAGACCGGAATCAGCTACCCCCAAAATAAGACCATCTTGATTCCGATCCTCTCCCTCTGGCTCAAAGAAACTACAATCGCAAGACGCCAAGAATAAGACTCTATACCGTGTTTCGTTCATGGTTCTCTTGACGTGGGGCTTGAAGACTGTGTTGTGACTGTGGTGAGAGAAGAAACAGGCCTGAGGAAAGGCTGGGGAACGGAGTAGTCGCTGCGATATATAAGTTATCGTTATCTCTCCTCCTTCTATGGTATACCATCCAGGTGAGATCGAGCGGACAAGATGAAGTTGATGACATGTGAATCGGACGGAAAAGACGGACAGGTGATGCAGGGAGCGATGCAGGAGGATAAGAGCGGTAAGGAAGATGTTGGAAGCAGAAAGGGGGATGCGCCAGTGTGCATGAGGCAAACTATATTGCACCCTTGATCCCAACCTTGCGGTATTTCTCCTCGTAAACCTGTGCCAACTGTGGTGCAGCAGATTTACAATCAACCGTCCTGTCCCGATCGAGGGCGTTCGGGTTGACGAAAAAGGCAGAACCGTGCGTTCCTAAGAACTTGAGTGTGTCTGACACTGATTCAAATCCGAGCTCATTCTGGATGAAGCACACTGTTATTGTGCGGTATCTGATGGAGACGAATAAGATACGGTTATAATCGTATGGAGATGGTAGATACTCACGCTTTTGTCATAGTCATCAACGCCCTGGTCCTCTCCCGATCAATGAAATAATCCATAATATATGCCCCCATGTTTGGTGCATTGAAATACATCTCAAACAAAGCATGGTAGTTGCCCATGGAGATAGCGCGCTGGACCCGAAGTGCGTGCTGCACTGCGGGATCCCTTTTCTGTCGTGGTGTTAGCGTACCTACGTAGAGATTAAGCTCTACGCAGTAAAGCGGGAATACAAGTATGAGTCATATCCTGAACTGACGAGAAGGGAAGAAGGGGCACACCGCTTTTATTCCGTCCATGCAGGAGCATGAGAATACGATAGGCGGTAAATTCTTCGTGTTTGCCTGGTATGCCGAGGTCGTATAAATTCTTAAGTGTCGCCTGACATTGGTTATATTCTACCATGTCCGACTGCAGCAGCAGATCAGCTGTAAGCCGTATAAAAGATCCAGCACCTACGCTTTCGAGTGCCATGCGTGCATGGATCTCGTATACCTGTACTGTAAACTCATTTTTTATTCGTTGCACCTACCAAGAGGGGCACGTGTCAACATGAAATATACAAGCGACGGATAACGCACGGTGAGATCTTGCCGCAGGCTCTTGAACTGATTACATATCCAATTATATGACACCTTGTCCTTCCAGCGCTTCTTGAGTTCGACGAGTGTCTGTTGGAGAACTGAGTATGGGCGGATCGTTTCTGGTTTTGGTTCCTGTGCGAAAAGTCAGAAGAAAAAACGATTGTATCGAATAATCCCATACTGAGGTAAGGCGCAGATAGTCCTTAAATAACTCCTGATTCGTCCCAACGATTGTATACTTATCCCAGTCAAGCACGTTCTAAGCAATAGGATAAGCATTCACATTGACTGCGAGAAGGAAAATGGACGGACGGGATCCGCCTCAGGGTCGTCAGGATTAGTACCAAAGGCACTCGGCGAGTCAGAACGCGATATCCGGTTGAAGAGGTGAGCATTCTGATTATTAGCCTGGAGAGAGGCCTGACCACGCATACTCTTCTGTCGCTCTATATCGTGTTCCCGCTGAAAACGTTCGGCTCGGCGATTAAGAGCCGCCTGATCCCCGAAGTCGAGGTTGGCATCATTGCGCTTCTGCGCCGCAGCTTTCTTTGCTTTCTTGCTCATCGGTGGAGTGTCATTCCTTTAAAGTATCAATGGGCCATGGTAACATTGGAAGCGCATGACACTGACATTTTGCGCTTGAGGGTATTGAGCACCGGGGGAGCTTTGGGCATCAGACTGGATGTCGCAAGTCACTGAAATCTGTAACTCAGCTTGCGACGAACTCAGACCGCACCTTTTTAATTGTACACCAGCCCAGTCGGTTGTCCACAGAGTCTTTTCAGCGAAAGCGTTAGCAATTGACTCTCTCAGCTCAGCCTGAGCCTCTGCCCTATTAGCATCTGTCATTTGCCCCAGACATCGTGCTACCCATTCTCTAAGCCACCGACTTCAGCTTCACTAGCTTAAAGTGAAGATATGGGCGCTTACTTCAGTGGTGGAGGCCATGACTCAGACGACATGGTGATTTAGTGATAGACTTTTAGTGTGCGTTATGCTGTGATATTGGGATGAGGATAATTGTCGGTATAGAAATTGGTGAAGGGAAATCAAAGCTTGAGCAAGGTTGCGAGAAGAAAGGACAACGTTCCTAAACGAAGCACCAGCATGTCCTATCCCGAGTTTCCCACGTTCGTCGGTGGTACAGCGTCTTTCTCATATGCCTTGAGGCTTTCGCGCGTCGCTCCCAAAGACCTCAGTAAGGCAACCAAATTCACACATGAAAAAACTCTCGCGGTTGAAAAGCAGTCTCATTAGAAGGATGCAACATAAATTGCAGCATCTGATGGCCGTAAGAGTCTATGGGATACTCGATCCGCCCTATATACGCAAGTTCTCTAATGGTTCAAATCCTTGGGCGGGTTGTAGACTACGAACTCGATCAAGATCTGCTAACAGTATCAATGAGGTTTAAAACTTACAGATTTTCCTGTTCTTAATTACGGTCCACTTGAACCGTTTTACCCCGATGGAAACAGCGAATAGCGCAGAGAAGAGGATAACAGCTTTGATACCCATCTTCTTCCGCTCGTCGTGCTCGGGCTCGGCTGCCCAGTTTAAGAAGGTGACAACATCTTTGGCCATCTGAGAGGTTGTGGCAGGGGTGCCTATAACGATCTTCAATACAGGGCCAGCCTAGCTTACGAAAGAGGAACATACCATCTTCGTACTCAACGAGATTGTCCCAGAGGACACGCGCCATGGAGATGGCACCACCAGGGAAGTAAGGGTTGTAGTTCATTCCTTCACGAATTTCAACACCAGCAGGGGGGTCGATATAACCCGTCAGTAGGGAAAACACGTAATCCTGGTTGACGAAGCGACATATGAGCGAATTTCCTCAATATAAGAACGATTCAAACCACTTACCGCACCACCATGACGAGCCTTGATGATTAAGCTCAAGTCGGGGGGAAGGGCACCACTGTTACCAGCCCGAGCAGCCTCCTCATTGGGGTATGGAGAAGGAAGGTAGTCGGAAAGCTTTCCGGGACGCTGGAACATCTCGCCTTTATCGTCTGGGCCGTCCGTGTACTCTACATCCTCGGCGAGTAAACGCGCTTCGTCGGCAGTATGTGACACCCCAACAAGGTTGCGCCAGGCAATACGGTCGAGCGAGTGACATGCAGCACAAACCTCCTGATAAACCTGGAAACCGCGACGGATGCTAGGGTACAGGTGTCATATAAGATATTTCACGGTAGTTAACGCGGACATACCTAGAGTGGTCAAAGCTGTCGAACAAGCCCTTGTGAGACCAAGGATACGCAGCGGGATGGAGACCGTCGTCGGCCAGCGAATTTGCATGCACCTCGCCAACAAAGGGGAGGGAGCCGTATAGATGGGTATACCATGCTATCGAGCCAGCAGAGAAAAGGGCAGCGGAGATGAGTGACGCGCGAGATGTGAACAGTGACTGCATTTAAAAACGAGTGAATTCTTTGAGAAACATTCCGAGACACATAGAGAACCAACCTCAAGTTTAGCTGAGGACGCTGAACTGGATGAAGTAAATCGGACCTGCTGTCGGAGGTTGAGCAGACAAACTTCGGGTTAGTTATTGAGAAGTAGAACTGACCGACGTAGCACGCGTTTTGAGGGCGCTAAAGGCAGAGCGAGATGCGCCTATTGCAGACTGGCTCTTGAGCGCGGCCACGGGAAGCCTCGACAACATTTTGGTTTCAAGTCCTCAAGATTTTCGAGGAGCGGAAAGGCTTGAAGTGGTGACTGTCAGTGTCACGCATCACACATATCAGTCACGGAACGAACCGGAGGCTTAGTCGGCAGTACCGTAGTTTCCGATCCTCCAATACAATCACCTGGATTTCACAGCCTTTCGCGTCTTTCAGACTCTTTCCCCAAACATGCAAAAAGTGGAAAGGGTATGATATCTCTGACGAATAATTTTACAAAAAAAATGACAATGTCACAGGCCTCACAAAGTCATTCAGAAACGACACTATCACGAAGTACGGTATCGTAGTCCAATGAATAGAAATCAGGATGGCTCATGACTAAGGAGAGAAAGTAAAGGTTCGTGTCCATTGTAGCATAAAGGCATCCGGCCGACATATACGGCGTGATCATGAGCGGGTTCTCATCGACTAGACAATATTGCGCCGTGCCAGCGGGCAGTAGCCCTGCTAGCAATCTCCAAGTCTTACAATAGACAGTCGCAAAGTGCCTCTGTTGGTGTGAATTTTAGTATGCCGGTGATTTGCCAAGGGTTCGGAAAACACCTACCCTCAGCACAGCAGCAAAGACATGCACCAGCAAGACAAGCCAGGCAGCCAGCGCCTCCACCAGCACCACTGGACTGAGCAGGTTGTTGTCTACGAAAATTTCAGCCTCGTGTTAGCGCGCAGTTCAGATGTGCAGGGTTGTGTACTAACACATAAACTGTCTGCGGTGGCGGTTGAGGTTGGTAACCAGGTCCGCCGTAAGGTTGACCGTAAGGCTGGCCTCCGTACGATTGTTGGGGTTGTTGGGGATAGTAACCCCCCTGTCCTGGTGGTGGACCTGCAGTCCTTCAGGTTTCAGAGATCAAAACACCAAAAGATGTGTAACTAACCTTGGGGTGGGTAGTATTGTTGTTGCTGACCGCTGTAGTAATCCTTGTTGGCCATTGTTCAATAGAGGAAACCGTTAATTAACGTTGACAATGAGAAGGAGAGGGTACTAGTAGAACTAAACCTGTTGTCGCTTTGCACAAAACTTATCTCGTGCGCGTTTCTCACGCTGCACGAGGCATGCCATGGTGACTCCCAGCAGTGATTCAGATGGCCCGGGCAGTGCAGCATGGCCACCGCAGCAAAGTCATAGGTCCGACCGCAGTCGCATTCGAGCCAAAATATCTTGTGGACTACCAATTTCATGCTACTACTGGGGAACCACCCTGTCTCAAAGCACTGAGAGCAGGCAAACATGGCGCTTGGTGTGTCACATCGATCATCAGATTCATTACCACTGGCCGTCTAACCATCGCTCATGCGCTCATGGACCGGAGATGAATCCCTGCAGGCGTACTAGTGAAGTATCTGTGATCTCTCTTCGTCGGCCGCAGTTATGCTTTAGGCAAAATCTTGTGATCACTTGGTGGCATTAGATCGACGATGACACTCAAGAGGCGCTCGACCTGTCAACGTTGCGGGTTAATTGTCATGCAGACGCCCTTCGCTTACTTTACGCTCGTTATTACCTCACCAAGACACTGAACGATGCAGCATGCAAACTCTAATTGAATAATCTAACTTATCTCCTCAACGTGTGTTTGCAATTATAGCCAGATGATATATGCAGTCAGCAGGTCGAGAGCACCATGCAGCGACAAGAAATAACAGAAACAGGTGTCAGTATAGAAAGGTCGAATGAGTGCACCGACTATGATATACAGCAGAAAGCGAAAACGAAAAAAAAATGCGAAGGTTATGCGAAAGTGACCAACATGCGTCGGAAAGTCCGAACGCAAATTCTAGGGTCTAAGGACCATTTGGCGTGAAGGCATGGATTCGTGCACCCTGTCTCAAAAAGCTTTGCGTTAAGCGTGTAATGGCTGTTTTGGAAAGAGTCGCCACATCAGCAAGAAAGATCAACAACAAAGCCAGATTCTTACGCGGTGCGACGTAATTTTCATGGGCACAGACATCAAATGACCGTGTGCGAGTCTGTGCAAGCACAGTCCCCTGAGATGCAATACTCATAGTACCAGAAGCATTAGTCCTGCGAATATGAGAAATGAATTTCATAAATTCAGTCATGGTCACCCGCCTCGTTCCTGCTCCACGTACTCTGATATCCGTAATAGAGAGATCCCGAGCTGGAAGCGGCCGCGCCAACGTATACTCGCGTCGGGGAACAGAAAATATAATCCAAGACGGCCCTGAAGGTCGCGCAATTTCTGAGGTGACGACACTAGGTTTCCGTAAAGCAAACGCCGCGGAGGTGCCTCTCCGTTTGGTGAGGTGCCCATATCCAACGGTGACCCATCATCCGTGAATAGTGACAAGTGGGCGATCAAGAATGGCAGCTCCATCTCACTGTCGGAAAAAATTATATTCTTGTACGCTAACCTTGTGAGGTGCTGACGGAACTTACGGAATGATGGAATTTCCAAAGCGATCGCGTACAGTCAGTTGCACGATTACTGGCGGAGCTAGTGGCAAACGGGAGAGGCTAGCAGAACCAAATTCCGCGGTTCTTTGGGGATGTTGCACGACATCAAGGTGGTATGACCTAGCTTACCAATTCATCAACGCGAGAAAGATCAATATACTACAAATAACTCGCCTCGTTTGACCATCGTTTAGGAAGGAAGAGTGTTGGACCCGAGATTGACTCGAAATATATTGATTAGACATGGATGGACTAGTGCGATCAGCGGAAGAAGCCTGGCTCCAAGCAGTGCCCTGTTGGCTAGATGACTCCGACTGAGATGGCATACTCCAGGACGACGGCGGTGACTGTGTGTTCGAATGGTCGCTGGCAGCTACGGACCTCGGTGAACCCTGAGGGCTTTCCCAGGGCAATTCGTGAAAGAGCTTCTTGTAGCTGCTGGGCATCAAGCGTAGTTTGCTCAGCAAGCCGGAGCCCTAGAACAAATGAACCACGTACGATGATATACACTTTATGGGTGTGATAGGCGTTACCGGACGTATTTGACGTGTACGCTGAGACATTTGTGATAGTGGAAAGTGAGCTAGGCTCCGATGCGTGCGTGAGGATAGACAGCAAGCAAGCACTTACTGCAACATCTCCTTCGACACTGGAGCGCGTGCGCGACGCATGGTCAACATCGTGAGCGTGATAATTCAACGACTTGTAGGGAGAGCTCAAACCATTCTTGGCTGACACCTTTTCCCATGAGTATTGCCTAGACCAGTAGGAGTCAATAGAGCGAGTATGCATATGTCACGAGATATTTGCCTGGGAGACAAGGCGCACGCTGAGCCTACAGGAGGATTAATCAATACTCTAGAGCATAGGAGCTTGGAATTTATCCATTTCGTTTGTAGGTGACCATATCATATAATACCTATTTCCAGGGAGCGGAGCTCGGGGTCAGAGGAAGACTGAAAGGTATCAGAATTCTGAATCTCAGTACCCAAAAAGTTTGACACTGACAGATCTGAAGGCGACCGATATAGGGTTCCAAATCTGTTCGGAGCAGTATTTGGGAAGCTGAAGGCACGTCTTCTTTGGATCTCCCGCAGTAGTGATCTAAACAGGCCTGAACGACCGGCCGAGGTTCTGTAAATCCCATTGGGACGCTTACATGTCAGAATAAAATCTCACATAGGTAAGCAAATATTAGGAAGGTATATGTTACAGGAGTCTATCATACTCTCTTCTTCACGTAGCTCCAAATCCCTGCCACTCCCGATATCACTGATGCTGCTGCAAGAGCGGGTTTTACCCCGGCTAACGGAGAAAAGTTTTTTTATTAGAGAACGTAAACAAAGAGGCTGGGGAAAACCATTTGTACCTGTTGACTTGTAGAGGGCGCCTGTTAATGCACCGGCAGCCATGCTGCCGGCTGTGTCATGTTTTCCGCGAAAAGAGTCAATGGTGGAGTTGATTCCGTTATAGACAAGGGCTATGAGTAATGAAAAATCAGTGACATACCCCAACAGGAAAGGTGAACTCACCAAGTACACCAGCTGAGTTACCTATGAACGTTCCTCTTCGCGTGACAGAATTAAGAACGCTGTTGATCCGGAGGCGGGTATTTGATACGGCTAGAGGTCTTCGAGCGCCTTCACTCACACCCCAAAAGCCACCCAAAGCCAGACCTTAAGGAAAGATAAATGAGCATGTGACAACACAAAACAATAAGAATGGCCGAAGTTGGAGATGACAGCAATACGATAAGGTGAGAGAAGATAGAATAAGAGAGGGCACGAGCCGTAGACGTACAAACTCGTGCAAAACTCATGTTAAGGAGCCGAAAGAAAGAAGACCTACCACTGAGATACATTGTGCCAGTTCCGTAGCATAAATCATCACTCCAACCTCGAGAAGGAATGGCTGTGCCGGCCCCTGGCAACTCACTCATCTTATCGTCATCTAGTACAAGATAGTCTAATTGGTCCCCAAGTTGAGCTAGAGGATGTAATTTGGCCGGGTCGTATGCACCCAGGAGCAAGTCGTTAGCCGTTACAGCATTCTCCACGGACACTGCTGGTCCATCACGCGAGAAAGTGGCCGACCGCAAAAAAGACGTTGGGTCCTGCGAGCCGGAGGCCGAGTTTTGAGGGTCACTTGAAGACATGCTTAAGAACAACCAGCTTTGGTGGCGAGTGAGAGCAACGAGCGGATAGCCGACGAAATTTTGGAACGGCGCGAGGGTGCGTGAGAATAGATTACCTAAAGTACCACCTACTTGGGTCGTCTCCAAACGTACTTACCGCTTTAAACCTGAACAATTAGAAAAATGTCCTTTGCGACCGCGAGCACACGCGCCCTCTCAAGGCCTGCTAGCTTCTCTTTGAGGACAAATGCGTCCTTCAAATCGAGCCGAGCTCCCCGTTCAAGGCTTTTAGTACACACGGCAGGCCACGAAGCACCTGTCATTGCCACAGCGCGTCCCGGCTATGCGTTCCGTCGCAATTGTGCGGGTGAATCATGGAACAATGTATTCAAAAGTCAGCACCGCATTTTCTACTTTCATTTGGCGCTAAACCGGTATTTTTAAGGATGGGCAACTTCCACTACACTGCATTCGACGGCATCGGATCCTGCAGAGATGGAAGCCATGCAATGTCTAGAACAGGGGACCCAGAAGCTAGAGGAGGGTGACATTCAAGGCGCCAAAGAACTTTACAATCGTAGCGTCGAAATTAAGCGCAACGCTAGCTCTCTGTTCAACTTGGGCGTCACGCATTATCACCTCAGTTTGTCCCACTTATCCAAAGATTTCAGGGTGCTGAGTAATTAATTATTAGAGGAGTTTGACAACGCCATTGCGGCTTGGAAAGAGTCAATAGCACTGCAACCCGCTAGTGCCGATGCTCACACAAGTGCGTGCCTCATCTTAAGAGTTGTCTAAATCTGGATGACGACATTAGTATCCGAAAGACCTCGCAAGCGCATACATAATATCTCCTGTTGCACGTCCTGACCTCGCTTTGCATCATCTCCAGCACGTAAACTGTTTAGAGCTTCCTTATCGGTTCACTGACTATTGTGTTCCAGTATTGCGGCTTCCCTCTCACCGGAAGACCCTGAAATCGCCTTCAATCTCGCCGCAGTTTTGGAAGCCAGTGAGTAAATTATGACATGGCTTATTGTTCCTAAAATTAACTTTCGCTCCTTGTGAAGCTGGGCAACTCGAAGAGGCTCTGAAGCAGTATAAACGTGCCAAAGAATACGGCGTCGAGCGTGCCGCAATGCATATTCGGAACGTTAGTAATTCGAATCTCGATCGTGATCTCAAATCTCATATATCACTACTTCAACTACAGGTGAGCGCAAAGATTCTAGGCAAGACCATAAAAATCGCGGAAAACACGGATAGCACGGACAGCTCAGCAAGAAAATCAGATTCGTAATGCCGATTCCCGCGCGGGTTTTGTCGCATCAAAAAGCGTGGTCTCCGGTAATTTGAAAATTTAACGCTGGGCTATGTGCGAAGTACTTGTCATGTCATTTAGTCTTGCTCCAGAATAGGACTTGGGAAGTCTACTAGACGGAAAGCGGTGGCCCCTGCCACCGCGATGAGCCCCATACCCGCGACCTTGTATCTGATTGGGGGCTGAAAGGTTTCCCCGTTTGAAATATGTAGAAGATGCTTGGAGCCGTTGTAATATCAAACCAATGTCTTCCCCCGTATATTCGGTACGAGGGTGGTCCGAAGGCTTTAAGTAAAGAATATGATCATGCCCTTCGTTGGGTTGTGGAAACTGGAGGTCTGATGCAAACCTAGCCAGAATGGATTGACCTTGTTGGGGGTCCTTAATGGTTGGATGTGAACTTCCTGTCAAGCAATACGTCATCAATCTCTGCAATAAATAATTCACAAACAAGTTCACGTACGTTCCTGAAGACGAGCAGAGCAAACCTAGATATATAAATGCAGTGTATGATAAAGCTACGATTAGCTTTGATTCCTTCTCGTGAATCTCAACGAACCTGATAGGGGGTATCGAAAACAATAACGCTGATCGAAGTACCAGGAAACTGGCGAGCGATATTGATCCAGTGTGATCGCTGTCTGTAGGTAGTGACAGCCGTAATATCAGCTTCTTCAATTTACATACAACGTGATACTAGACAAAAGCTTACATTGCATCAAAGTTGCACCTGTCAATACAAGGCGATAAGCCTTCGCGGAGCGCGCGGTGAGCTAAACTCTCGACGCGCTGTCTCGTCCCAAGCTCATCTTGATTACATCTACGAAATTGCGGAAAGTGACGTTCGAGTGCCTGAGCAAACGTGGACTACAAGAATTGTGTCGGCCATCTTTCCGGACCACCATCCCAAAATCGAATACAATTACCTTTCCTGATGCCACCAGTCCAACAAGGATAAGCATTGTCTGTGTGCCAGCAAACGGTGCTAGATCTTGTAAGGTCCCATCTTGGTCCATCTTGTCTGAAGACTCTGTCATAGGTGTGAAGAATCAACTAAAGGGTTTAAATTTCCACCAAGTTGGATGCAATTCTACTTGGAGCTGTGATTCAAAATTAACTCACACGGAGTCCGCTACCGGACCCGCTACAACCTAACTCAAAGATAGTTTTATGGGGTGAAATTCACGGTTCAAATCCTCGCCACCCTACACTCCTTGACCAACAATTCCTGGAGGTCCAAACAAAAATCTAACAGTCCCTTGGTTTCTCCCTAGCATGGCGATATCATTCCCATTATATAACTCGCTTGGATCAACACTCCCGAGAGGTTGCTGTGGCCGCAGCGGGTGTTCATTTTGCCGCATCATGATCTTAAGACGAATGAGCTGATCCGCTTTGTATGGAATTGGCGGAGGTTGCGGGGTGCTAACGGGTGACAAATGTTGATTCCGTGGTGACGGGTGTGGGGAAGGGGATGCCGGAGTGCGTGGAGACGTATTGGCCGACGGATTTTGCGCGGCTTGTATAAGTAGGTCGATAAGTACATGCGCAATTTCTGTGGGAGGTGATAATCAGTTGGGGAATGCAAGTGGAGAAGTTCCCAACCTTCCAAGTCCTCGGCTTCAGCCATGTACGTCCGCTCCCAATCGCCTTTTTCCTTTAGGATGGTTGCCACCCGCGAGTCCAATTGTGCCTCTACAAGGGGAGATGGCGGCGGTTCGAGGGTCGTCAGCAAGGATGCAGTATAGAGACATCCTAATGCGACAGTGTTCGGTGGATACATGATTGGTACTAATGTCCTGTGACTGTAATTTCGCTCAAATATGAATATAAGGTGAACTACAATAAAGAATGTGATACACCTGTCGATAGTGAGCCGCCATGCACATTTGATCAACTTCTTCGATGCTAAATATGCAGAAGGTTGAGTGTGAAAGTGTAGAAAGCATTGAATGGAATAGACACACCTTTCAACTTCCTCCCAATTTTGATCACATACGAAAACGGCATTTTGCTGGTAAAATTGAAACATATTGTCTCTAAAATCAGTCGCTCCACAGCCAGCAGTCTCTGGCGGTCGTTCTCAGCCGTCTAAATACACCACGTCAGTAGAAGAGCAGTTGAAATTCATAGATCATCACTCACCGGGGGATCCATATCGACTTCTCCGCCAACAGACTTCGACTTGGCTGCAAGCTCTGGGAATCGCACAGCATATGAGACCATGAGAATCTCCCGAGGCTTTTTGAGCGTGTCGTGCATCTTGGTGGAGACGTACAGTGCTGCCAGAGTGACATCGTGGTAGTTGAAGTCCTTTCGAGGAAAGAACAGGTGAAAGCGGTGGTACAGATTCTGGGCAGTGGCTAAAGTCTTCCTAGGACTGTCCTTTTGCCGTCAATATCAGCATATATTTTCTCTGTGGGCAGAAACGCACAAGCCAATCTTCGAGCCCACGGCTTCTATAAATCCACACGCTTGTTGCCTTGCTTTCTCCTCTTGTGTGGCAGACAGCTTTCCGCGTTGTTTCTCGGATAGGTGCTGTACCTCGGCTGACGTGAAATAGGGATGATGATATTTTGAGAATGAAGCTGGCAGTTGTGATGGCGATGGAACCCTGGAGTATCCTGATTCCATAGTACTACTCGAGATATGGACGATAGGGATATCGTCGCCAATGTGACACACGCCGCGGTCGTGACGCGCCTGTGACGCGACACTGTAACAAATTCTAGGGTACAGATCAGCTTCATATGTTATTCCAAACACTTTGAATCTTCGTTAATGATCAACATATGAGTGTCTGCCTGCGTACAGGCTCTATAGTATTGTATTCACTTCTCACCAAATCTGCAGTGCTTATCCTCTGCGTCCACACTACTAGTATGCATCTTGCGCGTCAGTCCTGTGTTGTTGTATTACTTCTGATTCGTTCATCTATGTTGGTTTTCAGACGCAGTGTTAAGTGTTGTCTCACCGCATCAAGCCTCGACCTCACCCTGTTAAGTTCGATCCACTCTCTATACTCTGCACCACTACGTCAAGCCCCAACCATGGCATGTCAGAAGCCTCGTTTAGGCTGGGTCAAGCACCACTCACACCACGACAAGTTCTCCCAAACATCTTCGCAGTCTCTGTACTAATATCAAGATCTACACTCTATACCGCATCAAGGCCTACTATCAGTGCCGCGTCAACCACAGCACATACCGCGTCAGTGTCGCGTCAATGTCGTGTCAAACCTCATCCATGCCGCGTCAAACTTGCGTCAGACCTCACCATTTCAACTGTGATGCTGTCCGTGTATATTTTATCTTAGATCTGTCACAATGATTGATATTCTACTAACAGTGTTCCTCTTCATCCTGACAGAATTACGTCGTACACTGTGATTGTCCATAGGCAGTAACAAATTTATTTACCAAACATTCATTCGTTTTATCTCCTATGGCCTAGAGAAGTCTGAAGAAACCCTTGTCGCCTTTTTGTAAATCGTATCATGGCCTTTGTGAGTGCTTTGAAATACGGAGCGCACTTGTTATAACTATCCTTCAGGAATGAATCAAATAGATTCAACCCAACGAGACAGAATCAAAATTATCCAGATCGGCCGGGTTCGCTGCTGAGTTTTGGGGACCTCGTACCATGCTATGACTGCTCAGGTGCGCCAATGCTACATCTTTGGAGTCTGCAGACGAGTTATCCAAAACTGTAGATCCTTCTCTGCTGGTTCAAGAATGTCCGCTTGTTAAACGTCGATGTGCTCCACAGGCTCGAAGGATCCAGAGAGGGAAGAAAAGAAAATAGTCATTGGCGCGTCAGTGGCTGCGTCAAGGCTCGTTAGTGCCGCGTCAAGGCTTGTCAGTGCCGCGTCAAAATAGCTACGCCCGGAATAATGCATTACCATAGTAAATGCATCATAAGGCCGCGAGCGCGCCAGTTCCCGACTTCGCTGTAAAGTCTTAATCGGCGAATACACATTCGCAGCAACAGAGACTGGGGTTGAAGCATCCTGGAGAAAGGAGGCGGCGGAATGAAGAGCATATATTGGGTTAGGTGAAAAGCATATTGCAGGCGCTTTGAAAGGGTGGGACTGATTGAGAAATTCTATATCCCACACCCGGATGGTATTGTCTTCTGAGCCAGACACATGCGCTTGCCGTCGGTGTGAATTGAGGCGAGCAGATGGGACAACGATCAAGACAGAATACGTCATCTTAGTGTCTAATAGGAACTCTTGTACAAGGCGAGTAAGAATATATTCTACTTGACACTTTGGAAGGAAGCGTCAAGCGGCAGCAGTGTGAGATGCGTGCGAGGTGGCATTGGGAGGCCGAGAATGCAAAGTTGTTGTAGGTGGCAGGACACAGCCTCGTATTCCAGTTGCTGCAGGTGGTGGTAACAGGATGATGGGAGCCTACTACCCAAGCTGCAGCTTGGGTCTCAAACTCGATGTGAACGAAATTCGAGCGTCTGGGAGTTACGATCATTCATGTTCAAACCTAATCCTTACTTAACATTCCTAAACCTTTTCTGACACTTTCCATAGATTATATGCAAAAAAACTAATGTCAATTATTCAAGGTATGGGACAGATAAAAATTACGGAGTCATCTATTAATCGGAATCAGAAGCAGACCATCTGTATTCTAGAAAGCAGGTATCTCTAATGATGGTTCAACAAAGAACGAAATCCAGTCATTGTGGTTGGTTAGAAACGACCCGATTAGCAAGCGGATTACTTAGCATGCAGGCACAGTCAGCGGAATTTTCACGGTTGTCTACAAAAAGATGTCATGGTCATGAATCATGTCTGAGACTCAAGCGAGCTTACAGCAAGTCCCTAAATTCGGCATTGAGCGAAAAAAATATGTTTGAAAATGAATCAGTAACGTACGGATAGACTAGTTTCTTTATATTTGACGCTCATATCAGCCGCGGTGAGGCGCATCGCCTCAATTGCCTCGTCCAAGGTTACACGGTATACGCCGGTGCTAGCCATGGAAAGCTGAGCTGCGGTCACAGCCTTCACAGCTACATTGCGAGTCCCACATCAATAAATAGTATCATCAAATGGAGAAACCCGGACGTACCGCCCAGGCTATTTCGTTCCTGCAGGGGTAGATGAGCAGGTGAGCTTCATGATACTCTCACAATCACTTACGATACAAGGCACTTGGACTAGCCCGTCGATGGGGTCACAAGTTAATCCCAGATTATGTTCTGCGGACCATAAACAAAAGGCACAAAATTAAAAAATAAGATGATCTTACCAATGCCAATTTCCGCAGCCTGAAAAACACTCAATAGAAGCTGACATGGAACAAAACAGAAACACGGACCTGAAGGACAGTTTCGGGTGACGCACCCATGCAGGCAGCAAAACCAGCACTGGCCATAGAACACGCAACTGATGATAGTGGCATGAACACCATCATTTTCTATAACAATTTGAATCAGCGCACCACCAACTTCCGCTTGACAGCCTCCTTCCGCAGCTGAAATCGTGCTGCCCCTCTTAAATAGCATGCCCACTGCCTGTAAACTTCGGTTAAGTATCTGATTTTCGCTTGAATTTGATCTGCATCGCATACCGCTGCGGTCAGTAAGAAGGTCTTGATCGATTTCTCGGGGTCATCGCTGATGAATTCGATGACATATTTCAGCACAGCAGGGATGACACCCGCAGCACCGTTCGTTGGTGAGGTGACGATGCGTCCCCCACTGGCATTGACCTCGTTTACAGCAATTGCATAACAAGAAAGGAAGTCGACAGCAGGTATCATTGTCTTACGCTGTAAGCAATGTTAAGATACTGCAGATTGGTGAAAATGAATCATTACCGGAGGCATTGGCAGAATTGCATGATCGAACGAGCCTGTAACCCATGGGGCATGCGTATTTTTTCCTGATGCACGTACTCCACCACGTCCATCACTTCCGTCCGCATAAGGCGAAGATTGTATATCTGATTCTGGTGCATCTATTACCGCGACAGGAGGGGTAGATGCGGAACCGATGAGTTGCAAATCAGGTGTTGCAATCCCAGGATAGAACCTGTGTCACCAACTGGTTAAGGATCATGTTTATTGGTAAGTAATCAGTGAACTATAACTGACCCTCGCATCAAGCGTTTGTACAGCATCGGGGCACGGCGTCGGAGACCCAGACGACCGGGGAGAGTCTTCTCAGCAGTGCTCACCCCTGATCGGATGCAATCGTCCATCACCGCCCATATCCGCATGAGCTACATACCATTAACCATATTTGAAGCTAATATGGAAAAGCAGAAGAATACCTTGTCGTTGATATCAGCCTCAGATAGACCAAAATAGCGTTCATTATCATGCACGATTTGTGCGATAGTGAGCTATTTGACCAATGACAATCAGACACCTCCATGAAGGAGTGAAACGTACGTTGTGTTTTCTTGTGAGTGCTAGGAGACTATTTCCAGACTCAAACGGATACGGCGGATGCCCAGGATCGTTCGCTGCTGGTTGAGCTGGGGTCTGATCACCTTCGATGGCGTTGTGGGTCTGATGCAACCTTGCTCCATGCACCGCGCTCTTGTCGACACCTTTGTAGAATAAATTCTCGTCTACTGTTGCATTAGTTAGCCGCTGACCCATATCCAAAATTGATATTGGGAGATATACTCTTTGTCTTCTCATTTACTACAAATCCTCCTCCAACGCTAATGATTTATTCAACTTCTTCATCAAACCTCAAGGTTAATATACACACCTGTAGTATTCATTAGTTGCCAAGAGTTCGCCTTCTTCGCCAAAGCACGAGAAACGCATGCCATTCGGGTGTGTCTTCAGTACTTGATCCCACCGCCATAGCATATCACGGTCCATATCAAAGGTAATGCGGCGAATACCTCCAAGATGAAGAGTTCTATTTGCGAGTATAGCTTCGTAACGAGAAGAGATTGTTCCCGTGTCAATGGTTTCGGGGTCTGAACCTTCAAGCCCGAGGAGGACCGCTTGCGGAGTGTGATGCCTGCAGAAATGAGATTCCAATGGTAAACAGCGAAAAATTGACACCATGGAGGGGGGTGGAATAATATATTCACCCTTTTCCTATATGAAGAGAGCTGTCGATTAGCGAACAGAACTCGGAAATTCAAATATTTACCCGTAGCAGCCAGCGATCCATAGCTATCATGCGGACCTCCGCTGTCAGCTTGATGCCCAAAGAATCACACTCTTGCACTCACAGGACTATTTTTACAGTTTTGACCTTCCAAAACAAGTTCATCAGAACGTACTTGGGGTGGAGAGCGGAAGCACGTACCTTCTCTAACACTTGCAACTCCTGCAGGTCAGCAATAAAAATCTTGCCAGCGCGCATGGGCCCAACTGTGTGAGAGCTACTTGGGCCCACTGAACAAGCCAATTATCCATTCAGCCTCATGTTCACGCACTCAAAACTCAATGATACAATGACTCACCACCGATGCTGAACAAATCGAATGTGGAAATGACAGCATGACCTGGTTTTACTTTTTCCGTTTCTACGAGAGCAGTGTCATCTCTTGCCCGACTCGATGTTAAAGTGTTTGTAGGATATTGTGAGGCTATCGAGTGGGATATCTTTCTGTTCCTGCCCACTGGAACAAGCCGAAGAAAGTGCGGCGGTTGCGCACGAAATGCAATGCGGATTGTTGAAGAGATCATTATGAATAGAGGAAAAGAGCTGAGAGGACTAAACGATCTACGTATGCCTGTCGTTCTATGCTGTTATGATTCAGCTCAGCTGAACCTGCCAGCGAAAGAAAAACTAAAGGTCAATTGAGTCAAACTTGGAAAGGTTCATCTTTTGGTATTACTAGTCCGCTGCTTATACTAGACATCCCAAAAAGGAAGGTGCTGTATTCACGGATCAATGCTGTTCCAAAATTAGGTTCGTTCGACTGTCTTCCTTCCATTTGGCCTGCCTAGGGGAGAATCATAGTGCTTTTCAGACCTGGCAGAACATCATCCTGGGCTTGCCTACGGGTTTACAGGTCTCATATAAAACAACACATTTTCTGCTGCTTCAAGTTAAACGAATTTGCAGACTCTGAGTACTTATCGATCGCACGTGCCTTTCGAGCAGAAATACATTGGCAAGTGTGTATTCGTACGCCATCACGGTGGGCCTGACCTTCGTTCTCAGAGGATGGGTTATATAATAACGCCGGAAGGCACCAAGGTACGTTTAATCTGCGTGAACTCGGCCGTCTCTTACACAGGAACCAGCTTGATTTCAATTCTAATAGTGCAGTCTAGGCGGTTCTCGATAAGGAGGAGCGACTCCGCGGTCCAATGAACTGCCATAACTTACTGACCCACCATGTGACAAAGGTACGCCGTCATCAACAACGAGGGAAGCAATGTCTAACTTAATGAAGCTCGATTCATTGCAATGTGTCACACTCCATACTGATATAACTTATAAGCCGTTTTCTCCGAGTCTCCACGCTTATTGTAACCATCTTTTCCTGTTTGTTCGTCTCCATCTCCTCTCTCCCTTTCCTCATGCTACATTCTCAATATGCTTTTATGCCGGCCCCGTTACCAGCGCACAGGGCCCCTACCTGTTTCAACTCCGAATAGTTATAGACCCCGCCAACTCACTCTATGTTCCGGGGGTCTCCTATATCTCCCCAAGTGTTATCTAGCATCTCCTTGCACGCAGCTGGGTATTGAGCAAGCTCTTCATATCAATACTATCACCGTGGACAAAGCGTCAATAACTCATTTACCGATCGCAGCAACCTTCATCGCACACCGCTGCTGGATGTATACCCTACTCTAGCCCATCTTCCGCTCCTCCAGGACCATCAATTCCGCTAAGACGCTTTGAGGTTCTCAGACAAAAGGAACAGATGCACTACCCAGCCTTCCCAACGCCTCGATCAACAAACCAGCTCGGAAAGGCAAGCGGCGGCCAGACTCCCAGAGGATCCGCCCGTCACTGTCATCCTTACCACTATTCCCCCCCCAAAAAAAAAAAAAAATAGGATTATACGTGTGTGGGCTATTTAAGAGACACTCCCTCCTTTCCTTCTCCTCTCTACCACTGTGCCACTCGCATATACCAGAGGGCGTCTTCCGTATCTTCAGAAACTCACCCAGTCCGTACAACCGAGAGTCCTACACACTCAGTGGGAGATTTGAACTTCTTCTTCCAGCCTTCTTTACCTCCGCAACACTAGGTAGCTCCCGGTGTGTGTGTGTGTGTGTTGGGGGGGTTGCCGCCACACTGCGATGGGCTGAAACGACATTTTCTATCAAGCATCCAGCACTGCTCCCCTAGAAAAAGATCGAATCCTGGTGGCGGCTTGGTGAGTCTTGATTGAAGGCACTCACTATCACGCTGGCGCACGGCGTACGGCGTATTTGACAGGTTCTACTAGTTTTGATGAGCCGGTAGCTAGGGTGTATCGTGTATGAGGT